AAATGTGGTTTATTGAACTTACATTTACATTCTTTATTTCACTTATTATGGTTTAATTATTGTAGGAACAACCTGCAGTCCTGTACAATGTACCCATTTGAGAGACACTAGGTTAGATAAAGACTGATCTTTTGGTCAGTGTCTCACTGCAGACCTTTTCTGTATTAAACCGACCACCATCTTTCCCGAACCTCGTGTCCAAGTGCTGCGAGTGCCTACACATAACCATCAGAAGTTGAATAATGCTGTAGTCACTATGAGCTGATATTGTATTGCAAGATCTGATATTTTGGTGCAAAACAAATGAGTCAGTGAACATCTTGTTCAAATATCTGAATCGCATTTTCTTTCTTTATCTGATTTTAAAACATTTTTTTTTTTAAAGAATCCAAAATGGAAAAACTAAAACTCAGTTCCAGACTCAGTTAGAGCTGGGTAATGAAACATTCTGCTAATTCTTGCTTCAATATCAATATTGTTCTTTAAGAGTTTTAAAACAAATCACATAATTTAAAAAAGCACAATAATAGAAAACACATTTCTGATGATAAGGAACATTGTAGACCGTTATAAAGCCCAGTTGTCTCTTTGTGTCTTAATTTTTAATCTTGTTCGACCTGCAGACAGCGGGTCAACTCTGACAGATCTGTTGAATTATTGAACTGGCGAGTTCCTACCAGTATACCCAGTCTGCTCAGTTTCATCCCTATATATTACATTTTTAGAGGGATGGAGAGACATAGGATCTTGGAGGGGTGAGAAGAGAGGTGGTGTCACTAAAGAGAGAAAGTGTGTGAAATTTTAGGCCAAAAAAACTCTGATTAGGAGTTAAAAAAGAGGGTGATGTGCAGTAGAGGAATGGATGGCAAACGGGAGAGGAGGAAGAGCAGGTAGAGGACACAGATAGAGGGCAGATGGCGAAGGGGAGAGATGAGCAAAAGATGGATGGAGGGATGGAGGGATGGAGGGTAGAGGGGGAGGAGGGAGGCTTTTGGCTGTCATGTCCAGCTGGCTGCTGCTGGTGCTCATGGCAACAAGATGGAAATCACTGCAGGATTCAGTCGGAGCAAAAGAACAGATAGCTTATCTTATCCATTTTTTATATCTTATGTTACGTTATCTTTTCTGTTCACCGCTTATCTTCACACATTCAACATAGCATGCATGATGTATGTCTCCTTCTGATACAAAATTGCTTTAGTTCTTCCAGTTTTTCCACTTTGCCATTCGACCCATCCGTGCTGAGCTAGCATGCATAAAACACACCACCTCATGTATGTTTTTCATAATAAAAGCCTATCAACGAAGCAAGGGCTGGAAGGCTTTTATTGTGAAAAATCTTCATGAAGGGTTGAGTGTCATTCGCCATGTGAGATTTTGTAGAAAGCTGCAGCTCTAATATTTCTAATCCCAATTTCTAATCCAAATATTTGCATTCTGCTCACATGCAGTAACCAATTGAATTGATTAAGCAATGAACAGGAAATAATTTGCAGGGCTGATTGTGATTGTTCATCTGTTTTTGAAAACAAAATAGTTAATTAATTCACAGAGAACCGAGTAGTTGAATAAACTTACACTGGACATATTTTTCGATGGTGTAAAATAAAAAAACAATTAAAAGAAAGTCTGAGGTTTATAAAAGCCCATTTTTATGTCTTGAGTGTTTTTTTTCTCATAATTGATATAACTGATATAATTAAGTGGGGTTAAGTGGAGGAAATGGGCGTCCATAGAGGTTTCTGGTAATTATGGTAATTCTAGCAATAATTTTAACGTTGACATAATGATTAAATGATTTCATCAGCTTAGCAGAAAAATGATCAATTGTTTTTTATAGTAATGGTGAATTGCAGATCTAATAGAAGTCAGTTAACATCCAGGGAAACCATGACCTCCAATCTGTCCAACAAACGGCCACCACGTTCAGACCAAGGTAGGGTTATATTTACAGGTTCTGACCACAACCGCAAGTTCCTTCACTGATGAGCGTTGACAGCTGGATGAAAACATTGTTTCTAAAGAGGAGGATCAATATCTTATCATATCCAACACACTCTGAAACAACATGAACACTATGGAGATAAGGCACAGCGGCCGTCCTCTCTCTCTCCGTTAGCGTGTGTGTGTTTGTGTGTGTGTTGGTCCATGGTTGCCATAGCGACCCGCTGCTGGGGAGGATTTCATCCTTAAAGGGCCGGTGAGCACCGTCGCTTTGGCAGGGGTCACGTCAACATGTCAACACCTGGTAACTGTGTTGGACAGAGGGGGAGGAGGAGGAGGAAGGAGAGGGTGAGGAGACAGGAGGAGATAAGAAGGCGACGAGAGAGAAAGTGAAAGGAAAGGGTGGACAGGAAGAAATGAGGCGTGAGAGAAGAGAGTAGAAAATAATTGAGTTTGTTAGCAGAAAGGAGGATGAAAGATGGGAGAAGGAGGAGCCCTATTTACAGCCCTAGTTCTATGTAAATGTTTGTGTTCTGAAGTCTCACCTTGAAAAGTCCTGGAGTTTTCATCAAACAACATCTGGAACGCTCGTAGAGAATCCTTGAAACTGGCATCCAGATGAGAGTTTTTTACACCTCGATCCATCTGCTCAGAGACCGTCTGTAAACTGCAGTTAACTGAAGTGGACCCTTAATATTCCCAGTTTAGTCACGTGCTACCGGAGCTTCCGAATAACATCGACAGCCTAACTGCCGGCTGTAAAAACTGTCGTAGCTTATATGAGCCTCAAAAGCCTTTAAAGGCCAGATGTTGTTTTTGGGTTAAAACAGTCCCAACATGTTGTGGTGGTTGCGGTTAAGCCGTGTGAGCAGAGCCGCAGCATATGGAGCTGATATGAAGCTGCAGGATAAAAACTCCCGCTGGTCCTCTTCTGAACTGACGTCCAGCACTCTCCAGCTCCCAGTGGAAACAAAAACCAGCATCATCAAGAGCTACGACTACAACAGCATACTCTAACATTAATCAACCAGAACTTCTATAGGTCTGTGACATAAAACCTTTAATTATTCATATGTGATAGTTCAACATCTTCCCTGCCATATCGGCCTCCACTTTCCACCAGATGCTGAACCTGCTGTAGGGATTCGCTCCCATTGAGACACAAGAGCGTTGGTGA